ATTATGTATACCGAGATTTTGTTTATATTTCAACAGCAATAGTCCAACTGAAATGCATACATTTTTTTCCTATAAAAGGGAAGCCATCAGTTTAATAGCTATGAAATATACATACATGCAAGTAAATATCAAAGTTATTATGTTTAATTCACATAATATAATTTTATAAAACCAAATGAATGAATTTTGAATGGTTGTGACATTGAATCAAATTCATTTCGTTATGTTATGCTATACAAGTAATTCACTAAAAATATTATAAAAAAAATGCTAGATGGCATAGTCCTAGAATGTATTGATCTCAACACAATTCAGAAAATTCTAAATCAATAATTTTTACTGCATGAATTTTAAAAAAAAGTTTTAATATAATAGAGTATAAATAGAAGGTTTAATAGAATACACAAATTTCGTGCAATTGAAATAAAAATTTTAATTATAAACAATTCAATTTTTTAATTATTTTTTAAATATTAAGCCTTTGTTGACTAACGCTACTCTCACGTATTACCAACATTAAATCGTTTGAAAATTGTAAATATACATTAAATTTTAATTTTAAGCTGTTAATATGTTTATAATGTTTCATTATCTCACTATATAAGTATTTCTTGATAGTCTTATTGTGAATTTAAATATGCTGACCGATTGCATTTAAACGTTTTACAACGCTTTGTAAAACGAGGAAAAAAAAATCCAAGATAATTTTGTTAATTTTTGGTTTTTGTTTTTTTTTTCTATCTTTTCTGTTCTATTCAAGAATCTATATCTTACCAATTTATTTAAAAAAAAAAAAATAACAGATATAGACGAATTTCTATTCTCCGGCAAGAAAGGGTTAAAGAACGCTCAGCATTCCACGCCTAAGTGTATGTATTTTCATTATCTCCATTTATTAATATTATAATTAGAGCATGGAATATATTTAGAAAAAATACAGCTCAAGGCAAGTGATGAATTGATTTGTCATTGTCACAACTCTATCCAATCGATCTGAATGTTGCATTCTTCTAATTTTGCAAGAGTCTTTTTCATAAAATTATACTAATTTTTGTACGTTTTTATCCACATATATGCAAGTACTATAAACTTATTATTAGATTTAAATTGTAATTTATTCTGAATACGTAAATAGTCAAAATTTTATTATTTGAGAAATTTGTTATTACATAATATAATCTTTATACATTTCCTAAAAATTTAATTTGGCGCCAAACATGTACTCATTGTAAGAAGTCAAAATTTTAAATATTATTCATTAAGTTAAACGAAATCTCTGAGACGACAGACAAGTAAATATTAGAATTAGTTTTATACAATTGCATTGTCAGTCATTTAAGAGATTAAAAATAATTTATTTTTATCCTTTAATCATTCATGAATGATTTATCATTGAAATGAAAATATTTTTTATATCTTTATATTTTATATTAAACGCCAGTTTTTTTGTTATTTTTCTTTATGTTCATTTAATTTCCTTCGAAGCCGAAAATCTGTGGCACAAAACTGCAATAATTACAATTAATATCCCTTAAGCGCCCACATTCTTTGGTAAATCCTCTTTTTTATTCAAACTACATATTTTATACAAAATAAAGGAATTTTATTTTGTTGCAAATTACTTTGCATTCACCTATAAATTAAATTACACACAATTAAGTTAGTAGCAATAATGTCCAAATATTCTTAATTAGACTTTATTTATTTTACATGAAAGTTAATCCCATTTTTTTCACACAATTTCACTAAAAAAAATATTTTAAATTATAAATAAACCCACATAGACGTAAGTATGAAAAAATATATTTTCTAAGAGCATCATTTGTACATGGTTTTTATAGAAATTTAAAAAAATATGCAAAATTATTTGACTATAACATTTTTATTACGTATTCTGAATTTCTAAAAATTATGCATATTAAAGGACCAAAAATTCTAGTGAAATTTAATTATCGATGGTATATTCGTAAAATTATGGGGGCTTTCCTTATCGGACGCTGATAAATACGAGTTTGCGTTTATCTTTTTAGCCACTGCCATATTCTGTTCCGATTTACTTATTTAAATAACGTGTCAAATATTCAAAATAGAAATAGTTAACCCTCAAATCCGATCAAACTGTCGTTCAGCATAGTAAATATAAACAATGTCCTTCAAAGACGAAAAATGCATTTTCCCTGATAAGCAATAACTAAACGGTATGTCAGTTTTTATATCCTACACCTTCGTGAATGGTATTCACTTAGATATGGAGTTTGTAACCACTAGAAGGAGTTGTCTTCGTTAAAACTAATGTAGATATAAATATCAAATTTTGTAAAGGTGTGTCCAATTATGTTCTACATATATTCTGAAAATTTTAAAGGAATAACTGCACTAGTTTGGGTAGTTGCCATACAACTTATTTAAATATTTTCAGCAAATTTTAAATATTTGGGAAAAAATTAAAATACGTTCATATAAGTTGGTGGTCATGTGTCCAGTTATAAGTCAGACATATCCGTAAAGAATTCCATAGAATATGGTTCGACAGGTTCGAGTAATTGCCACACAACAATGAAAGCTAATTCTAGATATTTCAGAAACAAATTTTTAACCTCAGATTGTCAAGGTGCAGAGGTATAATTCGGTCGGACATTTTCAATTATCTGAATTCAAATTTTGGACAGTTTCAAATATCTGTAACATTACTAAGTTGTTTGTATTTGCTATTTACTAAGAGGTCTGAGAACTAGATAACAATTTTATATAAGATTATCAATTTTACAGAATAAATTATTTTTCCAAAAATCCAATTCTAATTTCAAAATAAAACAAGTACGAGTAATAAAATTTTCTTTGGTCTAGTCTAGTTGTAGTCTAGTCATATGATCATTTTATTTTATTTCTTGGTGTATATGAGAGTAAGTTAATCCTTTTTTCTCTATTTTATCAAGGGTAAAATTCTCAAACAATAAATTTATTTGGTGTTCTATAAAATAAACCAAGTTTTCTTGTATATTTTTTTTATGATTTCATCTTCTATTTTTATGATAACTTCTCCATTATGGTGTTGCATTCTTTTGTACTGTTATTTTTATTGTAAAACATAAATTTTATTTGTTATTATTTTGTACTTTTATTATTATGGTCTATGAAATTGCAATTTCTGGATCCTTTTTTCTTTAACAAATAGTACTTAAAGTATTAAATTGTATAGTTATGACTTCAATAAATTCCTATTTTAGTTCTCCGTACACATCTTCACATCTATACTGGTATTGCATTTAGTTTTATTATCGAAAATAAAGTTTAATCATAGTGGGTGTTTTTTTATGCAAACAAATAGTTTACATAAATACAAGAAATATTGTTACAATGATATTATTTAGGAGAATTAAAACCTACAAGATAGAAGAAAATTGGTTTTTATTGTTAAATCCATGAAAAAGCAATTTTGAAAAGAAAATATTCAAATGTATTCATTTCTAATTTAATTTAAATCCTTTGAAATGAGTAGGAGTCTCATAGATTTAATCCAAAATAAATTTAAGTATTTAATCATAATTTTTGAAAGTTGAATTATAATACTTAGCTTTTAAAATTAATATTTTAGATTCTTGTAACGGCAAATATTGTATTTACCAATTTGAATATTTAATATTAACTTGAAACTTTTTAATTGCTACATTAACCAATTATTCTAAATCGTACTAAATATTACTATTTGTAAGTAAAGTTTGCGAATTAAGTTTCTTTAAAAATTGTATTGTCTAGTTTAGAAGGTGTTATAGAAGGTTATGAAAATGCAATTGGAAAACTTCCTTTCAGTTTTAAGGAATTTAGCAAGCTTTGAGCTAACATAACTAGAAAAGTGTGAATTTGCCTCTTAGTAGAATTTCGTTTTGTGCAACCCGAATCCTCCGAAACATTCACCAGCTAGTTTTGATAACAACCAGATTTTTCCAAAGAATTTTTGGATTTATTCCAAAATTTAGAATATCGAGGACACACGCAGACCGGCAGGCCGATAGACCGACAAACCGACTTCTCCCTAAAAGTAGTTTATTTACACTTCCCTACTGTGGAGAAGTGCTTTCCCACCGAAAACTACATATCCTAAATTTGGTGCCACCACATAACCTACCTTATTGTAGATATACAATCCGGTCGACAATAATTTTATGAAATTATTCAAAGAAATATTTGAAATTTCAAGCCAATGGAGTACAGCAATCACACAGAAATCAAATATTAAAAAACTTTTGTAAACTTTCACACATAAAAAGTTTCTTTTTTATTAATTTAAAGAAACCGCAAATTTTTCATTCATTTCTAAAACAAAATACAACTTATCTCTTCTGCAAGAATGCTTTGTTTTTTGTTATTTGTCCGACAGACCTGAACTTTTTTACAGCTTATTTTTTTGTTAAAAATAATTGTCTGAGTCATTTTCTGTAATAATCAAAATATTTTCTATAATATATATTTTATTTATTATGTATGTATGTAAATATTTGAGTTTTTATGATATAAGCTAATACCACAGTTTAATATGAACTCAAAATTATAAAATAAGTTATTAAAATTATAATAAAAACAAATTGCAATATTTGTAATTTCATTTAAAAAATTTAGTTTTACATTGCAATCATACTCGCAATTTCCAGTTAATTCGCATGGGGTTTCTAATTTCTTTAATATGTATTTCGAATGTTAAAATATTCTTTATAGGCATATTTAAATATTAAATTCATTAAATCCGACACTACATTTATTTTTTTTTTAAATAATCTTATTAATATCTTACATTTAAAGTACCAAATATGTTAACTTGAAACCTACCTGTCTGTTATACAAAATAAATTACTTTACAATTCCAAAATAAATACTTACGTATGTACACACGCACAGATAACACTAATAAATGCACAAACATCTTAATTTATTTTATTTTTATTTACTTGTATGCATATGCAATTTAAATAAATTTTAATAATTTTTTTAATTCTTTATTTCAGGTATAAAAAATTCATTACACTACGGATTGTGTACAAAATTCTTCAAAGATATTAGCAAAAAAAATTCAAAATTGAGAAAAGAGAAAAAAAACACACAACTAAAACTAGTGTAAATTCAAGTTTGACAAAAAAAAAAAAGAACACAAAACGAAAAACATTTCAAAATAGTTTAAAAATTTTTCACACAGTTGTCGCTCTTCTATATAAACATAACCTTAACAATTTCGAACACACGATATTGACAACACTAAGTATAAAATAATACACAACACAAAACTCGTAATGCAGTTATTTGGCTTCATTTAATTCAGAATTCAAAGATGTCATGGTAAAGTATTAAATAAAATTTTATTTTTCCTATACACATTATACTTTTTGACTCTTTTATTTTTGTTTTATTTTTGTGTATAAAACTTTTTAATATTTCCTTATTAAAATTTATAATAATATAATTATTTTCTGTATACACGAACATGTGTATTGCAAGTATATCTTCTTATATAAAAACATTTCGTGTATTAACTTTATATAAATACTCAAAAATATAATCATTTAGTAAAAAAGCACACAACGGCAGCTTAACCGCACATACTTAGTGACTCTTCTTATTTTACATCAAGTGTATTTAACATTTAAGATGTCAGCGGTAATGTTATAGTTGCAATAGTACTGCCTCTCTCCTATAACAAAAAAGTACTTTAAATGTGACAAGTGCTAAAAATTATACAGCAAAATATTGCGAAAATTTTCACTTGAAAAATCATTGTTAAAAAATTTAACCTTAAATTAGTTTTAATTTGAGACTCAGCTCTAGTGATTTCTACTGAATTTCTACTTATAATGATTTCTACTTATAGTGATTTCTACTTATAGTGAATTTCAACTCAAATAATATTATTCATAAACTTAACATGCCAGAAATATATTACTAGTGCTTATGTTCTTATTTTAATTCTAGCAAAACCCGTTAAGATCAAAGGACATTAGAAATTTTTCTATTCTCACTTGTGCTTTAGACGTGAGAGTAGTGAAAGTGAGAATAGAAAATAAATTTATAATAAAATTTTCTATTCTCATTGTGCAAATACTTTGTACGAAAAATAACTCCTGAAGTTGTTCCGAAAACCGGAAATTGTATGGCTAAGATAATTCTGAATGTTTGTTAAGGAAATTAGAGACCTTCATATAAATAATAAGTGAGTTTTGAGAAATCTTTGAGCTTTTTAAGCGAATAGGCAAGATTTAAAAGCATTAATTTTTGCATTTAAATATAAAATCTAGTACAAAATTTCTCAATTATTTTGAATAGGAAAAAAATTCCGTATTAAAACTTAATTATTAAGAATTGTAAATAACTATAACATTTTATTTAGCACAATCTCCTTAAACTGGTCTAATTTCTGTACAATTTCATTCAAGTACCTTTCAATTACGATCATACATTTTTGTCAATATCACTGATTCCCGCTATTTTAAAAATTTCCTTAATTTGTCTTATTTCAACTGCTGTAGTATTTTTATACCCTGCACTTCGTGAAGGGTATATTAACTTTGGTATGGAGTTTGTAACTACTTGAAGGAGTCATCTGCGGTATGGACATATATATATATTCTTGCTCAGCGTAAAATTCTGCGTCGATTTAGACATGTCCGTCCGTCCGTCCGTCCGTCCGTCCGTCCGTCCGTCCGTCCGATCGCACGATAACTCAAAAACCAATAATGCAATCGACACCAAACTTTCACAAGTTTTTTCTTTTGTGCCAAGGACGAACCCTATTGTTATTGGACTAAGTCGGACAACGGGTTCGGGTAGCTGCCATACAACTCCAAGAGTTTATTTTAAATATTTCAAAAACTAATAAAGCTATAAATATAAAATTTTGTATACATGTGTCCAATTATATTCTACACATGCTCTAAAAATTATAATGGGATAGCTGCACCGGTTCGGGTGGCTGCCATACAACTCCAACAGCAAATTTTTTATATTCGGCAAAATAATAAAGTCAGATTCATAAAACTTGGCAGTCATGTGTCCAATTATAGGTCAAATATATTTCCGAAGTTTTGGAGGAATTGCTTGACAGGTTCGGGTACCTGCTATACAACTCCATAAGCTAATTTTAAATATTTGGAAAAAGAATAAAGTCAGATTCATGAAACTTGGCAGTTGTGTGTCCGATTATAGATCAGATATATTTGTGAAGTTTTAGTGGAATTGCTTGACAGGTTCGGGTACTTGCCATACAACCCCAAAAGCTTATTTTAAATATTTGGAAAAATAATAAAGTCAAATTCATGAGACTTGGCAGTCGTGTGTCCAATTATGGGTCAGACATATTTCTAAAGTTTTGGTGCGATTGCTTGACAGGTTCGAGTAGCTCCCATACAAGTCTAAAAGCTTATTCTTAATATTTGGAAAAATAATAAAGTCAGATTCATGAAACTTGGCAGTCATGTGTCCAATTATGGGTCAGACATATTTCCGAAGTTTTGGAGGAATTGCTTGACAGGTTCGGGTACCTGCCACACAACTCCATAAGCTAATTTTAAATATTTGGAAAAAGAATAAAGTCAGATTCATGAAACTTGGCAGTTGTGTGTCCGATTATAGATTAGATATATTTGTGAAGTTTTAGTTTAATTGCTTGACAGGTTCGGGTACTTGCCATACAACCCCAAAAGCTTATTTTAAATATTTGGAAAAATAATAAAGTCAAATTCATGAGACTTGGCAGTCGTGTGTCCAATTATGGGTCAGACATATTTCTAAAGTTTTGGTGCGATTGCTTGACAGGTTCGAGTGGCTCCCATACAAGTCTAAAAGCTTATTCTTAATATTTGGAAAAATAATAAAGTCAGATTCATGAAACTTGGCAGTCATGTGTCCAATTATGGGTCAGACATATTTCTGAAGTTGTGGTGGAATTGCTTAACAGGTTCGAGTAGATCCCATACAAGTCTAAAAGCTTATTCTTAATATTTGGAAAAATAATAAAGTCAGATTCATGAAACTTGGCAGTTGTATGTCCGATTATAGATCAGATATATTTGTGAAGTTTTGATGGAATTGCTTGACAGGTTTAGGTACTTACCATACAACTCCAAAAGCTAATTTTAAATATTTTGAAAAATTATAAGGTCAGATTGATGAAACTTGGCAGTCGGATGTCCAATTTTAGGTCAGACATGTCCGTGAAGTTTCTATAGAATGATCTCACAGGTTCGAGTAATTGCTACTCAATAACGAAAGGTGCAGGGTATAATTCAATCGGTTTATACCGACTGAAACGTTTTTACTTGTTTATATTAAATTTTGTTATTTTTTCAATTTTCATTTGCTGATAGTTGTGGTTATTTTACTGCTAAGTTAATAAGTCGAAATGTATAAAATTATAAACTTCTGCCTGACGATCATTACCATATGTCTTATTATTATTATTATTTTTATTATTTGAAATAATGAGGATCATGAGTTTTGAGGTTTTAATACTTGTATCATAAAAATAGCCTGTCCAACCTGTGTCAATCAATTTGTATAAATTATTATTGAAAGCAAGTTCTTATTAATTTTTTTACTTGCATTTTTAACATCCCCGCAAAACAAGTTCTGTCCTTCTCTGACATACATTACAATCACTTTTTTTTACTTTTGCTTCTGCTCCATACAGATTATTTATTTTGAATTCATAATCAAACGAATATAAGACCTCATCTTCATCATCATTAACATATGAATATACACATATGTATGTACTTGTAGAGCAAAATGTAGCAATGGCAGAAGCATTAACAATTTTAAGAAATATAAAACGTTGAAATAAAAATATGAAAATATAAGTACATTAGCAGAAAGGTAAAATTCATTAAAAATGATCATACCGTATTAAAATATTAAATTTCATTTTTATAATATTGGTATATTAATTAAGGTGGGTAAAACGAATTTAGAGAATAAAATGATAAGTTGTACACATCGTAAACGTATTTAATGCAATAATGCAACAGAAGAAGAAAAAAAAACACCAATCTGATAATAAAGTAAGACAGAGAATTTTTGTTATTGCCTTTTCTTTTTCTTTCGATTTTACGGTAATAAAAAATTCAAAATTTGCAATTTTATCACACACTGTTTTAAAGAATGTCATAACAAACGCCTTAAATTATACCAAAGAATTATACAGCGAAAAATTATTATTATTGGTTTTTTTTATTAATAAATTTGTTAATAAATTTTATTTGCAATTAGCCGTTTTGGTTGATTTTAAATGCGATTTTTTTTCATCTGACACCTGAGATTGTCATAAACTTTATTTAATTTTATTCATTATTCGAATATTATGCACACTTTCTTTGTTGATTGCGTGTAAAATGAAGTTCAATTCCTTGAGAAAGGTGAAAGAAAAGTGTGAAATCGAAATTGATTAATAATTAAAATTTAATAATGTACTCGTAATAATTAAATTATTTTTATAATTATAGCACTGTATTCAAAATTAATTGCCCTTAAATTATGACATTTGTATTAGAATGCAAATATTGCTAGAAAACTAATTGTTATTTATAGAAACTCACTTTTAATTAAAAAAATTGATTTCCTATAAAAATTTCATTTGATTCCAATTTTGGGAAGGTCACAATTTAAAAATAAAATAAGGAAAAAAAATTCTTACCATGTCGGAAAATGTCACTAGTATCACGTCCATTTTTAGAAAATAAACTTAAAAATTTAAAAGTCAATTTTCTTATTTATTTTATCCGAATTATAATTCTGTGGGCCTGGCCAAATTTCCTAATAAAATTCTCTTTATTATTTCTCAGCATCATAATTTTGTTTGATATTTAAATTTTATACGTATTTAAAAAGTTATCTTGCATTTTATGAGTCACACTGAAAAAAAAAATAGAATACTTTTAAAGCCGTCCGGTACAGTTGGAATTGAAGAACCGCGATCAGATTTTTTAGGGTTATTTCATTTTCTAAGCCCAAGTTGGTGATTTGGGGAAGAACCGGGATCCAAAGAGGCACTTATCCAACTAAAAATTATTGTCAAAATATAGGAACTGACTACTTAGTTTAAACGATTACGTAAATTTCGTGTTTCAGGATTATTTCCTTTCTTTAGCAAAACTTAGTTAGAACTTTTAAATAGCACTTGGTTAATTGCACTTCAGATGCAACATATCTGAATATAGCTGCAATATAATAAATATATCTTTATAATTCGTTAATATTACATTAAAATAATTAACTTTGACTACTGAATTTTATTACTTGGAAAAGCACAGAACATCAGATGAAAAATTGCTTTGAAGCACTAATAAACT